ATCAGGTAACTGTCACTGATAACAAAAATTGTTATGGAATGTGCGTAAATACGAGCAGACTTCAGTGATGTATAGAATGACAAAGTACGCCTTTAGAAAGCAAGTCAGTCAAAAGAGAAGTAGTGGTCAAGTCTGTTTGGAATCTTATTATAGTTGAGCAAAGTTTACAAGTGACCGAATCTATCTGCATGTGGGAAATTACTTAAGAGGCCGATAGAGTTTAATTTCAAGTATAATAGACCTATCGAAAGACATCCGGTTCTTTTATTTATATATAATATACATCGAGGACAGTATTTATGTCTGAATTATTTTCCCTTTTGAATTGAAAACATTTCTTATTTATATCGACGAGGAGTTTGTGCATTCTGGAGTGAACTCAATTGTCATAAATGAATTTGAAATGAACGTTCACTGATTGGCAAGTCTTTAATTTCAGGAAAATTCCTAGCAAAACAACTATCCGTGATTCTAACCGGATTGATTAACAAATTATTTGAGATGATTTTATTTATTGATGAGTGGAAGATGATAAGGTTGTTTTTTTCAGATTTCGTCTAATTACTTCTGATTTGTTTTAATCATGAAAATACTCTTCATTTTAACCATCATTTTTATTTGCTTCTTTTAACATTTTCGCGTTCTCTTCTTATTGTTTTCTTTTACACAATGTATTGGTTGGTAATCTATTCCATGTTTGTATTTCTTCACTTGTTAGACTAAGCATTCTAATTGCACGACTGCACTAACCCTCATTTCACTGTCATCAAGTGAGACGAGTAATAATACAGAAAATTTCTTTGGTCAGTTGGCTTAGTGCAGATTGTAGCTCTGAAACTATCATTCACTATTTCTTTGAATTTTTACTCTAACAGAAATCTATCATTAGCTAATCCTTACTACTTGGTGATAGCATAAAAAATTATTTGGTGGTTAAAAGCTCACAGGAAGATTTCAAGTTTGAGACAACTTCTAAGAACTGCCATACGGAGGAAAAGGAAAAGATTCAAGCATCTTTTGTTCGCAAACATACCCTCTGTTTTGTATTATGCGTTTCCCTTCTACTAAAGTGCATACAGGTTGGATATGTCATATCATTCCCGTAACATCTTTTGGAGTTTTTGTCAGGCTAAATGTTAACTTCATGTCCTAGTAACTGTAGCCCAGGCTGTGATGTCTAAATAGATGCGCCACATTTTCGACTTTAATAACTGCTTACTCACTGGATTTGGGTAGTAGGTTTCTTTAAGACTATGAAATAAAAGCGAAGAACGGTCAACCGGAATGAGTGAAGAAAGTATATACTGATCTCACTTTGAATAAACTGGCAAGTTTGTTCAAGAGATACGATTAAATTTGGAAATTTTGTGGGGATTTATTGACATCATGGATACCCGTTGCTGAAGAATTCAACACCAGGACGAAACAGCTGTTCAGTGCTCCCAGGTTTCGAATGTTCCTCTAACTAATGTCAGTCCGTGATGAATGTTGCCTAAGATATGATTTGGATGGCATGATTATGAGCTATTTACTATAATAGAATGGTCAGCAAACAGAGAATGAATTTGTATAGACAGGTGCACGACTACATTTATGTTCCATTATGATTCCCTTTCTGTATATATCTCTATATGATACAGATGAAAAAGAACTACAATGCCACTATACTCTACTCTATATTGCCCAAATTCTATTCTTATGTACACTTAAGTTCGCCGTGACAAATTCTCGAGCCTGTGTTTGTGGTAAATGAGTAATCACTAGTAAAAATACTGAATGTTCACTAGTTTCATCCTCATTGATTATAAGTGTAAAGTCCTCACTATTTTACTGGCGACGTACTGTTAAGACATCGCTTCTTTACTTGAGCATCCAGACGTTGAGATCGAAATGCAGGTGGGAGCGATCTCTTTGCCTAATGTCGTAGCACTTTACGTATTTTCATATAAATTCAATGTGTAGAATTCAGACATTCCTATATTCTGTTATGTGTTTTCTGCACGCTTCAGAAACAAGTTGATCAGATACATTTTCGAACAATTGTAGTGTAGGCTGGTAGATCACATTACATTTTATTCACTCTGGTTTATCCTTACTGGAAGTTGTGCACATATGCATGCATAGACGGGATATGTTACGAATACAGTGAGATGGTAGATGATATGATAGCAGTTTTGACCCCCCAGAATCTAAAATTATTTAATTTTTCTCATGGACTAACAAATGATTGACTTAGTCTGAAAACTAACAGTTAAATTGAAACATTTTTTTTCTTATTTAGAGAAAAAGCAGATCCCACCAAATATTACGGCTCTGTTTATAAAGTCTGACTATTGTAACATATATATTATGACTATGGAGATGAAATCTTCAGGCTAATACTCTTGTAACGCATGAGCCTACAATAATTTTTGATAGAAATTTGCAAAGCTTTTAATGACTCTAAATCTGGAATATCTTCACATGCAATGGATTGAACACACATAACTTTTAAATCGCAAAATCTTATTGAAAATAATTAGGCTGTAGTCTTACCAATTTCATGGTTCAGAAATTAATTTTAGGTGATGCAGTTTAGCTACATTGATAGGTGTGTGTAGAAAATTTATTCTGTCTCTGGAGGCTGTCTTTCACGCTATACTTTGCTAATTCATTGCACAACGGTCGAAGTAACCGTACTAGCCGTTTGGCTATTGCGTGTTGAAGTGAGTTATTCATATGTAGGATAGAGGAAAGAGGCATTTCAGGTTTTTAAATTTTGCTAGGTCCTAGGATAATGCTACTTATAGGTTTCAAATTTTAAAATAAGGCCGGTAAAATACATCCGTCATCTTTCATTTTCTTTTTAATGAGACGATTAGATCCTTCTCCACTTTTTGGTTAGGTCTTTTGTTGACTACATATTCTGAAATTTACTCCCGTCTTGTAATAATAAATCCGTTTTTTTTACACAATCAATTCTGTCCATAATTAAGACTCCAGCTCCTTTATCAGGTCTAGTGATGGTGATGTTCCGATCCTTTCTGAGTTTTTAAGAGCACCATAATGTTCTTTAGTCAGTATGCCTCGTGAAATAATCTTATCGTTTTTATACTGAAAGGAGCAATCCATTAGATCTGATTTAAACCTATTTTCAACTCTGCACTAGATGATGCAACTAAATGGGCTCTTTATGCAAAAAGGTGGTCAAACTGTACATCCGTATCTATCTGATTAATTTGTTTGCAAGTGTCGCAAAAATTAGTTCCATGAGATAAATTTCCATTTGTAATTTATCGAGTATAACCCCAGAATAATTATGAATGTACTTCTCTGGAATAGCCGGAAATCTCAGTTGGAGCAACTGACTATCTATACTTTTCAACAGTAATATTAATCTTATGCTGGTCTTTCTCGGAAATCTTCAAATCGGCCATCAATGTTCAATTCAAGGTTAAAGGATAACCTACCTAATCATAGCTATTCATCTTGTATATATCAGTTTAACCGTTCCTTTGGGACAAGTAACACAGGATGCACGATTAGACAGGTATTTCTTTGTATACAAAAACATTTACCAGCTTGGTGTGGAAAACATGAAGTGAAAGTGGTTGAAATTTCTATCCTAGGAGACCTAGTAAACACAGGGCATCACACAGATGTTAATACAGCGATTAATGTCGAGTATAGTTCACCAGAAACAACACTACATGTAGCTTGACAACTACTCCTTAAAATAGGTGTGACTGTAGTAATAAGATTGATCTAAACTGAAATTTCTTTTCAGAAAGAACATATTCAAACATTTATTCTCCCTTGGCCTTCAATAGGCTGAAGACCACTTCTATCTTATTTGCTGTCTTTAAGTTTACTATCACGTTCATCGTTGGTATATAATTCATCTTAATAGTGACTAATTAAAATGGAAAAAGAGATTTCCTTACAGCCCATGACTCTCAACCCATTTAAAAAATGTTTTTGCCTCTAACTTGGCCTGTTTTTAAGCTACGTAAATACATTTTATAATTACAGAGGCTGGTGAGAATTTAATAAGAAGAGTATTCTTTCAGATTGTTCTTTTTATTAATGTCATGAGAATTTTGGAGTCTTGGTATCCTATGGTGAGTTTTTTTGAGATAAGCTACTACATGATATGAAGTGCAATTTTACAGTTATACTATTTCATTTCACGTTGTCCCTTTTGTCTACAGTTGGCTTTGCTAAACTGCATTATCTGTAAACAATGCTGATCTCCTGGTAGCGGGATTATTTAAACAACTTTATTGGTAGTTTTGTCAGTGTTATGGTAACTACAGTAATCACCATTTATTTCCGGCTTCATGTGGCTGGTCATTTGAGCAGTCATTAGATCCGTGAGAGTTGTCCATCTTCTTTATTGAATTTTGATGCCTGGTAGCTGAGATCGGGAAGAAATTGATGAGTTGACCAATCAAATTACAACACGATTGTTTCTGACTTATGAAATGGCTAGTCCCAACGCATTACTATTTTTTCAGTGATTTCAAACCTAACCTGTTATAGTGTTCTTGTGAATTTTTTCGTTAACATATAAGTAATGGAGAATCATATATTTCTAATTGAGCATTCAGACTGTGAACAGTTGAACAAGTGAAAACGTTTTTTTCGCTTCAGAACAAAGTTCTCCAGAAATCTTCATTCAAACGATAAGAAAATCACTTTCTGGTGAGTGACAGTGCAAAAAACTATTGACAAAGTGAAGTCTGACGGAGTTCTTTGATGATTTGAAATATGGATTTTGTTGTTTCAGAATGCTCGATATAAAATACAAAAATAAACACACAATTAATCTAACTTGCCAGTTTTGAGTTAAATATGGTATAATGGGTAGGTAGAAATACCCATAAAGTATATCTTAGACAAAGCTGAAGAAACCAAAGTAAAAAAGAGTTGTCCTTCTGTACGTCTGAAGATGAAGCGAGATTCGGTTATCACACGTAGACTTTGCTTAGTCACTATCTCTTTCTACATCATTTACTTACGCCTGCTCCGAGTCACGCACTAGCGGATTTAGGCTGGTAATACCAGCCAACTGATATACAATCCTATGTGTCATGACTGTAAGCACTTAACTTCTAGGACTCACATCAGCCTTCTTCTACTCTAAACATCAATACAAAAGTCATTTTTATCAGTTGACTTCCATTTTGAAAAATCAACCTCAGAATCTTGGTGGTCACTTTTTTTTCGAATTCTCATTTTCGTCAAATATTTTTCATTGAACAATCTAAACTGTTGATTACTACTTGTTATTATAATATAATTGTAATTCTCCGTTGTTTTGTTGGGTTCGAGCTCTATTGGTGCGTCCTGGATTCTTCTGCTAGCCACAACCAAGCGAATTTCTGGATGCTGTTTTAAAATACGAAATCTGATTGGACAAGCTGCTTTGTGTGTTTTGTATGAAGTCAGACATGATTGGATTTTCATAACAGCACTTTTAAGTCTGTCATTCTAACCAATCAACAATAAAACTCAAATACATAAAAGTCACTGAACATGACAAAATGTATTTGTCATAATCGCTTTCTGTGTATCTATGAAAACGCTTAAAGACTATATTCAAGATGTCAAAAGTCGATTCAAATTAGTAGCTGTAATAGCAGTTCTAACTGTTATCCTTGGTATATGGTATATAGGAGTTTTCAGTTTAGACGAGATTGGACAATTTATTTCCATTTATCAAAATGTAGCAACCTGGAATTTGAAAAAAGAACATATTTATTATTCAAACTTTGAAATCTTTAAAAAGTGGGACACTAATAATCATTGGAAATTTACTTATTCAATCTTTTTAGAAATGTTATCAATGGAAGTCATGAGTTGAACAAAACCAAGGTCAGTTTTATGCAGTTATTTACTCAAATACCTGTAGTTGTCAATTTGAAAAAGCTATTCTTAATGCTTAGCAAGAGAATAACATCATCGACATATTGTATTTAGTTTTGCATACAGTTTTTTTTGTTCCAGTTATCTTTGCTTCATATTCTTGTCAGTAAAGGAGATACTGCTGGAAAGTTACAATAGATACTTTCTAAAGTAATGTGAACCTAAAGATATGTTGATGACTTGTTCCAACTTTTTCTCTGCTATCACCTTCTCACTCTTCTAGTCACTGTTTAGACAGATATACAGTTCTGAAACCTGTTTTCAATGAAGACAGAAGGTATTCGCAGTTTTAAGGATAGTCGCGACAAATATAACAATTTTTTTTCAAATACTTTGCATCGTGACATGAAGTCTTATTTAACAGTTAGTTATACTATTTCACTTCACTTTGTTCCTTTTGTTTACAGTTAGACTTACAAAATGCCGATCTCCTAGCAACCGGACTATTTGAATAACCTTATCGATTGTTTTGTCAGCGTTGTTTTCGGCCTCACATGGTTGATCTTCGAAGAAGACCCATGGGAGTTGTCCATCTTTGACACTGAATTTCGATGGCTGATAGCTGAGCTTCGGAAATACTTGATAAATTTGACGATCATATTACAACGGCTCAGTAATTTGATTAACTACGTAAACATGAGTTTTTAACTGTGCTTTTCATGACTGTGGGATTTGGAGTATTTACAGTACATGATCATTTTATCAGACGTTCATCATGACGAACAACACTCGGTGCAATTTTGCCTGTATAAGTATAATAACTTTTGGCTGACTAAAACGGGGACTATCATATGACTTGCAACGTATGGGAAGTGAAAAGAAAATTAAGCGTGAATGTAAGAAAATATAAGAATTTTTCAAAGATGTTATTTGTACACCACTGTAAAGGTTACGAGATCATTAGGTAAAACATCTTCAGTACAATCAATGAAGCAACTTCCTGGAAGATAGTTTCATACGCCTGATCATTACTCAGACAATATTGAATTTCAACATTTTGTACGACTATCTTTACACGATTATCATCATTCAGTCAGTGAATACCAACATGAAACTCTGCAATACTTCATCACAGTCTGTGATTCCATGTCTTATAATAGCACAGTGAGACATAGGCAGCAAGCTAGAAAGTAAAGCAAAGGAGAAGTTCAGTGAAGTGTTATATATGTATATATATATATATATATATATATATATATATATATATATATAATAAGAGAAGAGTAAGGGGTAAAAGAAAAGCGAACTGTGATATCATGGTTATCATGAAGATTATGTATGGAGATGTGTGCGTCAGTGGGATGGATTCTAAGCCATACCGCTTGCAGTCTCCAACCATCGCTTTCGATTGTCACGTGAACCCCGACCCAGAAATCTTCATTTACTTACACGAAAGAGATCAGATGTCAAAATATTCATGGACTGATTCCATGTTTTATTCCGTCTCCTCTACAACTTCTCAGGCAAAATAAATTCCACTGGGATTGGATGTCGAGGAAGACGGTAACTATTGAAGTGTGTCACATGTGCAAGCTGTATGAGTCAAGGGAGGTGTACAATCTCACTCCTTTCACCTGAAACTTTCCAAGTGACGTCTAAATTACTGATGAAGAGATGAAAAATGATATTGGGTGGGTAATACTGCATTACTGTGTGTTGTATCAGATGAACAAAAGTTTATAAGTAACTAGCATGAATTTAGCCGTTTTCCACTGTTTAAGGGCATACACTACATGAAATTTCGTTTTGTGCATACAAATGGAATCAACAGTCCATTTGGCAAGGTTAAAATGATTTTCATTTCATTCCTCTTATTTAGTTTTGTTGTTGATCCACTTATTCTTTTCTGTTTAGATTATATGTCTGTACTGACAGCCTAATTCTCTCTCTCTCTCTCTCTCTCTCTCTCTCTCTATATATATATATATATATATATATATATATATATATATATATATATATATATATATATATATATATATATAAACACTCAGAATCAATATTCACTTTCTTCTATCTCTTTCATTGAATCATTCTTATCTGGTACTAACGTTTTTTTTATGCTGATTGAAATTTACAATAGTATGGCATAAATTCTTGACACCTAACAGCTGGATAAACCTCGAATATTTTAATGCATCGGAGATCATTTAGGATTTCACTTTGTGAGTTATCATTTCGACCACATGACAGTGAACTGAAAATGTGTTGTGCCACACCTTTGGTTCTGCATTTCTTATTACCACCATATTACTGATGTAATCCAAGGAATATGTGAAGATATTGATTAATTGTTTTCATGATATTTGTTTCAATGAGTGTTTCACCTCTCGATAGCATATCAGCCGCTGAATGTCTCTAATTGAAAACTTATCGCTAAATATCTTCTTTCAGGTGCACTACATTGTTATATACGGTGAGATGTTGGCAAGTATTAACAAAGATGTCAAAGTTGCCAGTGAATAACTGTCTCATATTAACTGATGTAGTTCAGTGGGTTAATGCTGATCTTATTTTGATTCCAAATAAAATATTTCCTCCTGGAAAACGTCCTAAGCATCAGGCTTGGGTAGCATATGATTATGAGTCGCCACTGCACAGTCGACTGAGCACTGAACTAAATGATAAAGTAAGCTTATACTTGATAACCAAGTGTCATGCAGATATGAATTACTTCAGTTTGCCTTTATTAAGCAAATATTTGTGTAATGAAAATTCCATTGTGCTTCAGTGGTTATTCCATGTATTCGTTTTCATTTTAAAAGTGTATTTTTAACTTCAATGTCTGTTTACGATGGGTTTCTGCACGTAATAATCAGTGTGCATCATTTTCGTATGCTAGTATTGACTATACACATTTATCAATGTTTGAAAATCTGCCTGACCTCAGACGTCCTCTTTCACAATAAAAGTGTATACTCAACTTGTCATGAACTTATTTGCTCACTCTTCATAATTGTAGATTAACTTCACTGCCACGTATAGATTCGATTCAACTATTCGTACTCCCTATGGAATGTATACACCGAATAGTCCTGAAGATAATAACAACGACAACAGAAGTCAATCAAATAAAATGAAGAAATAGCTGCAGGGAAGGATAAATTAGTCGCCTGGATGGTCAGTAATTGTAATGCACCCAGTCCACGATTTTCCTACGCCAATGACTTAGCTAAGTACATCAAGGTAAGTTGAACGATTCAAATGACTGCAGAAATTTATAAAATGTATCCTTTTTCTGTAGAAAGAATCATATATAATCATTCAAGTTGCAAATGGTCATCAGCATCGTTCATCATTATCATCATTTATTTACTTGGTCTAAGGTTTTGAAAATTTGATCAAAATATATATTTCTGAACGTAATTGACTTAGTATAGATACTGTTGCTCTGGAAGTACTCATCGAAACTGTTAATAATTCTTAAATTAAAACGAAACAGGGGTCCTCCACTCCTAGGTTTGTTTTGGTTCTCTTATTGATATCACTCAAATAGCAAAAACTGCCTTGAGATCTGACAACAAGATTTACAACCGAATTACTCACTGTCAAGTGACTTGCATTGAGACAAATTATTAGAAGAATCCATGACAAATGATGTCAGTCAAGTGGTACATCATGGAAACTATTCATCGACGGCATTGTATGATGGTTTAAAGATAGAAAGTGAAGTGGTTGAGTGCTTCAGCCACTTCCCTTTGAGAATTAGATCAACCACAACGGTCTAGTTGCTGACGAAATCTCAGCTCGAATAGAGAAGGCCCGTTTGGCATTTACAAACTTGAATCATCTATGGCGCCGGTGGAATATCTATTAAAGGTTTGGTATACTGCACTGGAGTTCACTGTGTCCTGTAATATGTCTGTAAGATATGGCTGCTAAAAGTAGAGGATAATAGAGAGTTACTGGTTTTCCATTAGAGGCATCTTTGAAGCATTACTCATGTTTGGTGGAATCGCGGTATGAGAAATGTTGAGGTAAGGTGAAAGTTACTACGGAAGGAAAGAAAGTAGATTGACCGGGTTGTGGACCTTAGTCGACTGAGTTGGCTTCAAAATGTACTGAGCATGCCGATACACCACCTGACTCGACGTATAATATTGAAGGAACTTGAGAAAGGTTTCAGAGTGGTCCGACCAGGACGTGGCACTGGTCGATGAAGACCCTGACTGTTGGTCTGAGTCGTATAAAAACTTGTAAACTACCTGTCTGGGATCCTCGATACAATGCAAATCGGTGGTTGAGAACTCTTGGTAACGTGGCTGAAAATCAGTCAAGGTGAGGTAGACGTGCTCAATGACTGGGCTGCCGAAATTCTAAGAGACGAACAACCAATCCATTTTTAACTCATCAGATCCCACTAGAGAAGTGCCTAGCTCAAATATTGAAACAAAGTAGCAGGATATCGGGTAGACTAAGTAAGTATGATATTTTCAGTGTGTTGATTTAATTAAAGATAACACGTGAGAAGGAGTTAAGCTGTTATTATATTTCACTTCATTGTAGATCACTGTTCTGTAGTCAGAAATAGTTGATCAGTTATAGAGATTCTTACAAAAAATGACGTGAATATTCCGTTGCAATTACGCCAATTTTAGGGGCTATCATTACTGGTGCACGCTTATTATTTGATTGCTTGTTTGTAATAAATTGAACATGCAAATGTATGGGGTTGTGATGGGGTACAAAGTTGAACTATAGCTTGCCAATCTATAGTAGATACTAGAAAACGATATTTTGCAGCCGCTCCAAATTCAGTTGAATATATATTATATAGTGCCATGACAATATGTATTCAAATTAGACACTAGCAAATTTCAACATATCATATTCATGGATAAATTCTCTCATAGACTGGAAAATTCGAAGATCTGGTTGAATGCAAAGATAATGTAAAACATTTTACCTAGAGGTAGGTGAACACTACTAGACACTAACGAACTCTACGTCCAATTACTGATATCATATCAGAACTGGTAATCATTGTGGTAATCACCGAAGAAGTTTA